CTGGTGGAAAACATTTCTAGGTCTATTAACTTATAGAAACATTTTCCAATATTATAAAGCCATAATTGTTTAAAAACTAATCTGTATGAAAGCAGTTTTTTCGGTATAAATACAGATACAGCTGTATCATCACTGATCATATCTAAAATCATTTCTTGTAGAGATTGCTTTATTAACCAATTCAGAAAGAGCAAATTAAAGGGTTCAGTATGCTTTGTGTCAAATGAGCTAACAATAATATATAAATATAAAGGGTGGTCGGATGGTGCAGTGGATAGCGCACTTGCCTTTCATCAAGGCGGCTGGGGTTCGATTCCCCGATCGGCCATGAAAGGGTTGGGGTCACCTGTCCAACGAATGCTAGTCGTTTCGGTAACAAGTGGTTTCGGTAACAAGTGGTGTCGGGTGTCCCGAAACGAAAAGTCGTTTCGGGACTTACTCAAGTCGTTTTCGGGACATATAAAAAAAATATTCAAAATATAAATGAATGTTACAAGTTACATTTCTCTTTCCCGTTTCGTAAAAATCTGTGTAAACACAGCTTTCGTCGTAGCCTTTCAGCAATGACGTCACGATTTATGTGTATACAAGAGTACGCATATGGCGGCTTCGACCTACCCGTGCTTTGGATTTAGTTTTGCCAATTAGCGCCACACTTAGATTGCTTGAGGGGGTACCTGCCAACAGAGAGGAACGAACACCAAGTACCGAACCGAACGCGCGGTCAATATCAATTAATCAATTATATAAGGTTCCTTGTTTGATATCGTGATAACATGTTTTCGTTTTACTCTTTTCCCTATTTAATGTGGCCAACTAGATCAAGTTTCCCTTTTGACAGAAGTACTAATTTGACAGTAAATTCTGCATATAAAAAGTATCAAATTTTACAATGCAGACTAGTAGGGTGTGTTTTTGTAACCCTCATTGTTGAAACTATGAAAACAGTGAGATCCTCACTGAGGTACTCGGAGCATCTCCAAACGTTTTTTTGTTGTTGTAAACCTAAGTTAAAATTATGAAATCAAAGAGCTCCTTACTGTTTGTTTTGCTGAAATTTTGAAAACTACTCAATTAAAAAGTAAACAAAACAAACATAAACACGTGTGCTAAACAAACAGTAGAAAATAATTGAGATGTCCCGAAACGACTTTTGACACTCCCGAAACGACCCGGAAAAAGGTCCGAAACAACTTCCGTCTTGTTACCGAAACGACTTGTTACCGAAACGACCTGACACCTGTCCAACTACGTGGGTTTTCTTCGGCTACTCCGGTTTCCTCCCACACTAAGACCCCCACACGCTAACATCCGGGCCAACAAGAGTGATTAATATAAGTTGAAATAACTTGTTTCATAATTGTTGTAAAATAAATAAAGTTTATATTTTATATATTGTATTACTATACACTAAGTCTCTTACAAGTATGTATATCATATCAAATTGTTTTGTTTGCCAGTATTGTGATATACTTACAGTACTTGAATTGTCAATCAATTTTTATCAAACTCTAAAAACGTGTATTTATATTTTTTGAGTCCTTCAGTATAGATGTGATGCAAGTCATACCCTGAAGTACCAGAAATTATGCCAAAATATATTTTCATGAAAATTAAATTATAAAATATGTTGTTTTTTCTTTTTCGGTCCAATTGTCTGTTTTATGCAATGTCATAGGCCCAGAGCAATTTTAGATTTATAACCACACCATGTAAACTTTTTTTTTTTTTTTCTATATTTCTTGTTTTTGTCATTGTTTTTGTATTCATGAATCAAGGTGTGCAATCTAAAATTCAAAGTTCTGGCACAGTTTTACAATTTACAGAAACCACAACAATGAGTTGAAACAAAAAAATAAGGACTAGAATCAGATGTGTTTTGCAGATTAATCAATTAGAGAGGAGAAATCTATTCAACATCATAGGTACACAATATTTATGGAATTTACTTGCTAACTATCTTACCTGTTGATTCCTTCGTAATTCACAGGCACAAACAATGAGAAACCTAGAGTTGCTGAACCTGATTGAGTTGTCTCCCTTGAGTGAATTATGTGGGACACACTGCACAAGCATAGACTGTGACACAGGGACTGTTTACAGTGCCACATCCACACATTTGGTTGGATTTGACCCCAATAATGGACAGGTATTAAAACACTTTTCACCAAAATTTTCTTTTAGTTTCAAGATATTCTACCTCCAATAAGATTGATGACATCTCAAACTTTTCTCGTCACTGTACTATTCGCTTGCAAATCATGCAGAGTCATGTATTTTTCAGCTGACCGGAATAGTCTCCCTTGTTGATGAAGCTTTCGTACCACCAGATGGCAGTGGGCGTGTTGTGGGTATCCAGTACCTGGCTGACCAGCAGGCTGTGTGTGCTGCAACCAGCACTGGTAACCTGGTGTTGTGGCACGTCACCATGGGACAGGTACAGTGTATATACAGCTAACAGTCATGGTTGTTAGACCAGATATGTTTAACAAGTGTGGCAAAATACTAAACAAGAGTTTTTATGACAAGCATTTTTACTAAGTCCCAGTCATATGTTTGGATTTATAGATTTTGATTTTGTATATAAATTTTGAAATAATAAGAATAAAAAATGTCCCAGGGCTGTTCCATAATTAGATGTAGGAGAGTGGTGAGAGGCAGTTTTTCAGAAAACCCACCACACATAAAATTTTCAAAGTGATTTTATATAAGGAATGGTAGGATGATCCCACCACCAATACCCGGGTAATCTATTGATACAGTTGCCTCCTACCTCCCCAATACAATAAATTATAGAACAGCCCCTATCATATCATGAATAATTTATTAGATTTTAATACAATTATTTGTTTACCCTTGAAAGGTATTTACTCCATAGGAGAATGGTATATTTTTTTGAAGTGACAATAATAAATGTTAAATCACTCTACAGCTGGAATGTGTGGGAGCTGTGGATAGCGGTTTGACCTCTATGACCTGGAGTCCTGACCTTGAACTTCTCATACTCACAACAGGTAACTTACATTTTCTGTTGATGGCTGATATACAGTGTGGTCAGTTTAAGTTTAAATGTCATTATCTGGAAACCTTCATGGACCAGATATTTACCTAGGTCTCTGTTATTTCTGTGGCAGATTTTAATTGTACATAGGATTACGGTCGCCTTCTAGCTTTGAGCTAGGGGGAATTTCCCTTTAGCTCAGTGGTAGAGCGTCCGACTAGGAACCTGGAGATCGAGGGTTCGAATCCCGGTGGAAGCACACTATTCTCTTTCCTGTTACATTTCTAGTATGTTAACGTAAACGGTACCATTAAGTTCAAGTATGCTATCACTAGTGACACCATCAGGAAATATTTCTTTTAAGTCATTTTAGATCATGTAAAGTCTATCTTGCAATGCATTTTATAGAATAATAGTTGTTTGAAACTTAAGTACACTTCTATTTGGAAACAAGTAGAAATAAACAAGAAAAAAGAAAATTTCAGGAGTTGAACTTGGGAGCTATCAGCTGTTGATCCTACATCTTGCTGTTGCTATCCAGGAATTGAATCTGTAATCAACAAGGCTGTCTTTAAGAAAACAAAATATTCATTACTGTCCCGGTGTTTACTTTTGACAGGCTTTGCTGTAATACAGAATGCGAAATTTCCCAATATCTGTTTTAATATCACTGACAACATATTGTACAAGACTTTGTGTATGGGTTTTTTTCAGGACAAAATACTTTCATTATGATGACCAGGGAGTTTGACCCCATCACAGAGAACACTCTCCACCCAGAGAACTTTGGAGAAGGTATGAAATCAACATAATGTAAGATTGAATTTTGACCACATGGGGTTTTCTCCAGGTACTCCAGCTTCCCCCACATTAAGTCCCCCTGTGTACCACCATGCATCCAGGCCAGTGATTAATTTAAGTTGATGGAACTTGTTTAATAATTGCTGTAAACTAAATTAAGTAAATTTATTTTTTAAGAACCCCCAACTTGTGATGATTGATAATATCAATATGTAAGTTTTGTTAGATAATCTCAAAATTTTACTTTGTAAAGTGGAAATATAAAATTATTTAACTTATGTTAGATGAGCATGACAACCAGTAGCCAAACATGAATACTCAGTGTCAAGATAGTGAGGTTTTTTTCAGACTCTCCAAGCATGGACATACCGTATAGCAACCCTCACATTTAGAAATATTTTATTTTCGTTACATTTGTGGCCTGATAAATCATGTGAGATATAACTCCACGACTTTATTGCACATCTAATTGAGAGATAGTAAAGATTATATAGGGATGTCAATTATGCCCAAAATAAATTTTAATCCCCAAAATTTGCTCCTGGAACAAAAATCTCAAAAGGTGACCCCAAGAGATGAAAGTGCTGCACAGTATAATGTTCTACCACTGTACCAGTACCTGTATGCATGTCCTATACAACAGTCAGACCCACATAGAAACAGCAGGTACATGTACATGGTTTCTGTTTTATCATTGCCAGCCAAGTTTGTGACGGTGGGATGGGGTAAGAAGGAGACACAATTCCATGGGTCAGTAGGAAAGGAGGCAGCCAAGCAGAAACTGGAGGCAAGTCAAGTGATTAATTGATTGTGGAAATACTAGTCTCAGAGATGGCTTATATTAAATTGGTGATGATATGATTATCCCCCCACTCCTCTACTCATCTACACACTGATTGTGAGGTTATCCCAGTTTTCTTTTTTCCTGCATTAAAGAATTTACAAGTCATCAGTTCCCATTTATGTCGAAAGGTTGTCAGTCAGTCCATCAGTTTGTTACATTGTCTAGGACATATCTCATATATATACTTTGTACCGTACAATTTTACGAATTTTGCATCTGTGCACCTCTTTGGATGGCAAAGTGTTGGATACTAATATCTGGTCTTTTGCTATGCTATATAATTCAGAGTTATGACCCTTTGTTCACAGTGAGTCACCTTGTCTGGGGCATATTTGGTACACTCTGTTACCTTTAATTGCTAAATAAAGCAAAGTGGTGCCTCTTTGGCCAGTGGAGTGTGACACGCTGAAATTGGTCTAGTGTCCTTTTATTACAGAGTTATTGCCCTTTGTTATACTGAACAAATGAAAATAGAAATGATGAGCAACAACACCACTGAATCCGGTACAAAATGTTATGTTTGATTTACATCCTACTTGCTGACATGTTTCTATACTGAAGTTTGTCCAGATTTAGGGAAATACCAATAGCTTGTAATGCTATGCCTTGTTTTCTTGAATCTATGTGATGTAATGATTTTCGATATATAATTGTACATCTTTCAGAGCTCTTACTTATTTTGAAAACAATGTCCATGTTTCAGGAGGTGAAGCCTGCTTTGCCATGGGATGACCAGCTACCAAGGGTCAGTTGGCGAGGTGATGGTCAGCTTTTTGTAGTCAGCACAATCAGCCCCGACACAGGTAGGAAAACAAAATCAGTGACAACTATTTATTGATCATATAAAACAATAATGATGGTTTTAATTACATGGCAAATTAGGAAACTTATTTTATTATTTGTATTTGTATTACTCTGTAATAGTTTTAATCATTGAAAATCTTACTCTATGTTTAATTTACAGTAAAATGTAGGTCCCCTTAGCTTGTTACAGGTAAAATAGGGTAATGGTGCATTAATGACCTGAAAATATCGTCTTTATTCAGATTTTGCAAAAGCTAAAGATCTTGAACAGATTTAAGAAATAGTCATGTTTTTTCTTTTGCTGCTATATATACCTTAATTTGTTTCTGTAAACCAGGGGCGCGTAAGTTACGAGTCTGGAACAGGGAATGTGAGCATCAGTCGACCAGTGAAAATGTAGATGGAGTAGAACAAGCTTTGACATGGAGGTACGTATAATTGTATTTTATAGGACGCTGTGTTTGTGGTCATGGTTATTGAGCTGGTTAAGGTTTCTTCCCTCTCTTATCTGCTGCATTCGTTTTGTGACACGGATGGTAGATCTTTGTTGAAATAATATTTGTTGATTTATTAAATTGCTAAACAAATGTCTTCAATTTTCGTAGCAACAAATAAAGGAGAAACTCTTTTAAAAAAATGATATCTGGGAGCTAAATATGTTTCACAATACTGTATGCCAGGAAACGTCGCCTTTTTTCGCCCTCCGTAATGAGAGCAAATTTATCATTAAAACGAACATTGGTAAACAAAATAATTAACATAGTAATTAAAGTGAAAGGCAAAATTAACACTGGGTGAATATGGATTTTACCGTTGTAGGGTGAAAGCTTGACTGGGCGAAAGATTCCAGGCGTACAGTTTTACCTGTGAACAACAATTTCGTTACACAGGTTCAAGATAGTTATAAAATGCATATTACCATATCAAGGCAAAATTTTGATTAACACAGAGTTGTGAATTATGTTAAGTGGTTTCAAAAGGTTGAATTTTGCTGCACATTGAATCTGAAATAGCTTCATGTTTACGTTTCAGACCCTCTGGTAATCTGATCGCCAGCACACTGAGAAGACCAAACAAACATGAAGTTATCTTTTTTGAGAAGAATGGACTGAGACATGGAGAATTCACACTCCCATTTGGAGTTAATGACATACAGGTATAAGGGGGTAATCATTAGTGCAGACATATAGGTAAATACAGGTATAGAGATTCTCACAGATACAGGTACATACATAAGTATTAGGGGATAATCATAAGTGTAGACATACAGGTAAATACAGGTAGAGAGATTCTCACAGATACAGGTACATACAGAAGTATTAGGGGGTAATCATTAGTGTAGACATACAGGTAAATACAGGTAGAGAGATTATCACAGATACAGGTACATGCAGAAGTATTAGGGGGTAATCATTAGTGTAGACATACAGGTAAATACATGTAGAAAGATTCTCACAGATACAGGTACATATACAGGTATAAGAGATCCTTGTTAAACTGGATATAAAGGTGCCACAGATTGTTCTTTGTCTGTAGGCACAGGTAAACACAGGTACAGTGGTTCCTTTTTAGTGTTATTTTACAGGCAGATACAGGGACCCTTGTTAGTCTAGATATAAAGGTAATATCAATTAAGGAACTTGGGATCAGGTATCAGAACCAAAAAGGGCAAACCAATCGATTTTCTGTGATAATGATAAAAGATTGTTGGCATGGATATACAAGTAGACACAGATCCTCATTAGCCTGAATGTTCAGGTAAATACAGGTATAAGAGTGACTCCATCGTATATAGGATACTTGCTGAAAGCTGTGTTACAGGTAGATACAGGTAAATTGTACCCTGTACAATGCAATCATGTTGCAATAAATACTCTGCATTAATATAGAATATTTATAGTGAGCAGAGTAGAGTGGTGGAATCTAAATGTAATAAAATATTGTTGAAAAAGAAAGTTGTTATTTAACATCTTTGATTTTGCTTCTTGCTCTTATTTATAATGGTGAAAATTAAAAAAAAAAAATCACAATTTTTAGAGTTGTTTTTATATTTGGACAGGTGAAGGAGATGTGCTGGAATCTAGATTCAACTGTATTGATGTTACAACTAGAGGATCTAGTACAGAACCCTGGTGGACAGACCACACCCAGGACATATGGTATATATATGTCACAGTTATTTTATCAACAAGCATATATAATAATTATCTGGTCTGGTTTTAGGAATTGTTAGCCTTCTACCAATTTAAACGAGCCTTGTCTAAAAGACTATGTTAATATTTAAGCTTGAAAAGGTGATTTTCAAACATGGGTATTCTTCAAATTACTACAATTTTTGGCAGGTCATGAAGCTCATTTGTAAGTTGACCTGCACAAAAGCAGGTGACTTTACAGGTATAAAAATGTACCCCTGTGTTGATGTACATGTACATGTATGTCATCTTTACATTTAACTCATTCACCCCTGAAATTTCATAATTAATTATTCTGACCTTTGAATTGGAAGGGTTCAAATGTGTCTTCAGGGGTGAATGAGATGAGGCATGTTTCCATTTTCATTAACAGTACAGATATGGACCATGAATAATTACCACTGGTACTTGAAGCAAAGTCTACCCTTTGATGGCACAGCAGACGACAAAATAGTCTCAGTTGTTTGGGACCCTGAACATGTATATCGCCTCCACATAATTTGTTCTGGAGGGAAATACCTGCAATATACATGGTCCTGGGCCACTCACTTCAGCACAGGGATATCCAAGGACAACCAGGCATTGGTGGCTGTAATTGATGGAGGTAAAGACAATTTCATTTGATATTTGATTTTGAGAATTTTGATTTTATTTCTCATTGTTTTCTTGTGAACACTCGTCAGATTATGAAATAAGTTATCTTGATTGAATATTGAAATGTTTTCTCACAGAATTTTCTCTTCACCATGAAAATCACTTTAGATAAGGAGTGTAATATTTCCATATTCACGGTAAAAAATAATCTTGACTTACTAAATATAAAAATAACCCGACACTGGAATCTCAACAATCTTTATTCCAAAAAAAGGGTCTCAATGGTGAGACATATGGCATACTGGGACATTTCTCAGGATTACTGTTCTTATCACTGTTATCAAACTCATGTAAAGTTAACATGGGAAGCATATTCTCAAACACAACACAGTGATAATGATAAGAAACAATTCAAACATGCTTACCTAACTCTATGATTTTGTGCTATAATTATCTCCCTTGCATTGACCAATCACCTGCTGTCCGTTTGTGAAAAAATGAAATGGCTTTTATAGATATATAGATAATGGAAGATGGCAATTCATGTTTTGAAAAGGAATTGAATTTCTTTATCAGAATACCCAAGTATAAGTTTATATCCACTTTGAAAAATCATTCCCACAAAAAGTTAGATGACATGAAATTCCGATTTAGTGGGTTTCCGTTTGTTTTCGTACAGACCGAGTGTTGCTGACCCCAATGAGGGATATGGTGACACCCCCTCCAATGTCTGCCTACTATCTACAGCTCCCGTGCCCTGTCAACCAAGTGGCGTTCTGTCTCCAGGGAAACCCCAACAACATGGCATTGATTTTAGCAGACGGCAGAGTGTCTGTATACACATTTGGTATGTCTTGGGGGGTTCGTCTTATCATTAGAATTTATTCACTTTGAATTCCAAATATTTAAATACCGACATCATTTTTCCTGTACAAACTTTTTTATGTGATGTCCTGTTGGCATTTCACCAACAAAGCGGATATCACAGCTGATGTTAAAATTTCTTGAAGTTAATCCAGTGGTCATGATGTGCCAGTAAACGTTGATATGTGCAGTGTTCTTGTTAAAAGCTGCAGCTGTTTGCCAGCAAAAGCAGCCATTGAATTTTCAGAATCTGTTTAGGTCAACATTATAGCATATGAACATTCAACTGCTATTCTTTTCAAGTCAACTACCTATTTCAAATCTTATTGAGAACACTGATGTATCAATGCATACATCTTGTCAAATAATACATGGATGGTTATTTACCAATAAAAAGTGTTGCTACATCACAGATGTTGTAGAATATGCTATATCAGCTGAAATGTTCTGTTCCTGAACTCGTTTGATAACATTTGCCATGTTGATTTGATGTTCTTACTCCTCACATTAGCTCAAGACTCTGATGGTAAGGACTTACCAAGAGACAGTACGGTCAAGTTTGACGCTACTTTAGGCGAGGGGTTCTCATTGTGCTGTCAAACACCAACCCATCGGGGAACCTACAGGTAACTCTCCAGGGTATATCCTAAACAGTGTGTCCAGAGCAGTGCATGAGTAACGAGCTGCTGGGATACTTCTACAAATCACATGTGTTTAATAATTTGATGATAGGCTTAAGCAATTTGGCTCCATGAAGTATTTTAGCCTTTTATTTAAGTTTGATCTCTTGATAAGGTGAACATATTTCAAAGTAAAAGTCTGGAGGTAATGAAAAAAAAATATGAATTCATAAGTATTTCCAGTTTGTATGTTACTTGGAGGTTCATGCCCAACTTGAGTTGCTGAATTATCTCTCAGCATTAAAGTGGTACAATTTGTTCTTAAGAATTTTGGTGAATCTTACAACATCTACAGCAAGTTTTAAGACTACAAGGTTCCATATTTCACACTGTGATAATACAATATGTTGTGCTACCCCACCATCAAGAACTTCTTTTTATTTTGTTGTGTTATCAACTGTAATTGGCATAGTGAAGAAAGGGCTGCAATCTTTTTAATGCCATTGACGTTGTATGTAAATTTCATTGGTATATAATGAAAACAATACCACCCATACATCTATATCAGAAGTTGCAGACAATGAAAATAATACCACCCATACATCTATATCAGAAGTTGCAGACAATGAAAATAATACCACCCATACATCTATATCAGAAGTTGCAGACAAAAACGTTTATTGTGCAGCTTGTGGATACATTTGTCCATACCAAAAGTTGTGCTGTTCCCGAATCAGATGAAAAACATCATAAAAGTACATCGAGAAACCATTTTTAATTGTTGGATTTTGAAGGATGGACATTGTACACTGTCTCAAATTCACCTTACTTGCTTCGGCTACAGGGAATCTCCCTTTAGCTAGGAATTAGAGCATCCGTCTTGGAGAGTCACGGGTCCCTGGTTTGATATCACACATTCGTGTCACTACTTCCTGCCTATTACACAGCTAAACTGTAATGATGTCATTTTGCTGACGAGTATTGTTTATACAGAAAATTTGAAAACTTTCGTATGATTTATTTTTTCAGTATTGAAGGACTGCCAATTGACGTACGGAAAGTGCCTACAGCGACGCACCATTTTGTTTGGTTGACCTCTGAACTTTTGATGTTCTGTACCCAGGATCGTGGGCACGCCCAGAACTCTGTGCTTCATTGTGCTGAACTAAAGCTTGATGCTGATAAACCTCATCTCACCGTCAAGTAAGTTTTCATTTCTGTTGATTTTGTTATGGATTAATTCTCAGCCTTTGAAATCTATTACATGTACTATATTTCTATTTTTCTGAAACTTTTTTTTTCAGTTTTAAATTTTCCAGAAGTATTTTCTGTTACAAAATTTCATGACCTGCCCATATTCAGAGAACTTATAGCATGGTTACTACGAACTACAAAGCCAGAAAACTCTTTGATGGAAAATTAAATGGTTAATATTAGCCAGAAATATATATTTAAGTTTAAATGAAACTGTCTTAGAAACACTATCCAAGTGTTTCAATCATTCAAATTCATGTCATATTTCTTGTTTCATCATATAAAATGTGATGCATATTGTCAGAACTGAAACCTGAGTAATCCGGAATTCTTTGTAATCCAGACCATCAACAATATCCCACTGTACACATTAATATGTACACATAACCTTAATAAACTGGATACCTGTATAAACTAGATATCTGTATAAACTAGACCTTCAGCTAGGCCCCACTTAGTACAGTTTTGTGTAAATTGAACCTTTCTAAACCGGAAACCTGTGTAAACCAGACTGTCAACAAGGTTCTGTCGTATACATGTCTTTGTCAATTGGACCTCTAAGGCCTGAAAACCAGTGTATTATATGGAAGCAGATCTTGATCCTAGTATTTTTCTGTTTAATGACTGAAAAATGTGGTATTAAAAAAACATAAATTTTTGCATGGACAGAAAACTCTATGTGAGATTTATATAGTGCAGTAACATTGTTAGCACAGAAATGATGTTCCAGAAATCGTTTTTTTAGAGTAAAATGCAAAAATATGCACTTTGTCAGTAATGAATGACTTTTTTTCTAGGTCCAGTATTGACATTGAGAGTTTTGTGTACAAGATGGCTGTCAATGCAGAGTCAGGGTCTGTAGCCATACAGCTGTGCAGTGGTTCTGTTCTCAAGTTTGATCCAGGTATCAATGAGATTGATTTGTTTTATATCTTTAAGATGTGCAGTTCAGTGGTAAATACATATTATAGGAGACACAAATTAGTATATCTTGTTAGAACAGGTTGATTGTAATGTATATGATTAATAAAAATAATGGATATTTGAAATTGCATGGTAATTCGTCTGGAAAATGAATTGTCAATTTAAGTGCTTGTTTATGATTCATTCATTTTTGCTAGATTCAAATTCTTGCAAATACTTTGCGCGAGGCAAGATCTTGAAAATATTTACTGGCAAAAATAAAATGATTTTCACTATATAAGACATATATTCGATACTGTTAAAACCAATGTCATTTAGTTTCCTAATTTTCACAATATAACTGTTTTACTTGACATTAAGTGTCTGAACTCCGTTTTGAAATTCATATAATGGCTTGCATTATAGTGACTCTCTCATACTTTAAAAAGGTTGCTTTGAAGACAAAATTGATAATTTGAACAAGTTGCAAACAACAATGTACAATAAAGTTTCTATTTTAAGAAGTGCATGACCACTAAAACAGCTGTCTCTAGTTTCACTCGTCACAGTAAAGGGCCATAATCATGGGTTTTACAGATAGTTCTGTTATTCACACATACAGGATTTAATTAAATTTTACAGGTTGTGACATGGTGTTGCCATGGGAGATAAAATCAGGGGGGGAGCTGACCTTCCCCGTCCCTTGTCCTTACATGTGTGTCTGTGATATCGGAGGAGAGGTAAAAACATTTTACCCAGTTCTTTCTGGTAAAATTTACTTTTTGATACTAAATGATTGCAAATGCTTATATTAAACGGATACCTGGTACTATATGCTTTGTAATATATAATGTTACTCAAAATTTTTCCAATATTGTAGTAGAAAAATTGAAGTTCATGTCTTTGACTGTGAAAAAACAATCTGATTTAACCCTTTCACCCCTATGTAACTTAAGTAGACTCTACCATGCATTGAAATGGTTTAACACATATCTTCAATATTGCTATGCTATTGAAATTTTCACAGCCAAAGACAAGAACTCCACATAGCGATATTGGAGATATGGACATGTATTCAAATCAAATTGTTAAAATGTGTTCATGTGATAAAGCCGTTTTCACCAACATTTGACTGTTAAACTAGTACGAAGACGTTGTGAATGGTGAATCGCCTGTAGATATCACCAAATGTCATACAGCCATGGAACTGTATTTCACTAACATGTAAATGCGATACTGGTGGAAAATGTCATAAAGTTGCCTGTTAAGTCACGCGACAAACCATGTGTATGATAAATGTTACAGAATTTAGGTAAATACATAAACTTACAACTTATTACCATACTTTAATTCGTCAAGCACCTTCCTATGAAAGATGACATTTTCAACAACACTGGGTTTGATAATAATGATTGTTACCTGAGTTTCCGGGCTTGATATCTGACCAATACCTGTGTGTTGCTATGTTACAGGAGGTGGTCGTAGGACTGACCGATAGATACAGACTTTACGTCAATGACACTGAGGTAAGTACATAGTGATTCAATAGTGGTATGTATACATTGGGTGTGTGTGTGTGAGGTGTAGTTGATATAATCTTGCCCCTCCTACCTAGGATGTTGTGGATGACAGGCTGTGTGTGTTGGTGTGTAGTTGATATAATCTTGCCCCTCCTACCTAGGATGTTGTGGATGACAGGCTGTGTGTGTTGGTGTGTAGTTGATATAATCTTGCCCCTCCTACCTAGGATGTTGTGGATGACAGGCTGTGTGTGTGTGTGTAGTTGATATAATATTGCCCCTCCTACCTAGGATGTTGTGGATGACAGGCTGTGTGTGTGGGTGTGTAGTTGATATAATCTTGCCCCTCCTACCTAGGATGTTGTGGACAACAGGCTGTGTGTGTGGGTGTGTAGTTGATATAATCTTGCCCCTCATACCTGGGATATTGTGGATGACAGACTGTGTGTGTGGGTGTGTAGTTCATATAATCTTGCCCCTCCTACCTAGGATGTTGTGGATGACAGGCTGGGTGTGTGTGTGTGTAGTTGATATAATCTTGCCCCTCCTACCTAGGATATTGTGGATGACAGGCTGTGTGTGTGTTGGGGTAGTTGATATAATCTTGCCCCTCCTACCTAGGATGTTATGGATGACAGGCTGTGTGTGTGAGGTGTAGTTGATATAATCTTGCCCCTCCTACCTAGGATGTTGTGGATGCCAGGCTGTGTGTGGGTGTGTAGTTGATATAATCTTGCCCCGCATACCTGGGATATTGTGGATGACAGACTGTGTTTGTGGGTGTGTAGTTCATATAATCTTGCCCCTCCTACCTAGGATGTTGTGGATGACAGGCTGTGTGTGTGTGTGTGTAGGTGATATAATCTTGCCCCTCTTACCTAGGATATTGTGGATGACAGGCTGTGTGTGTGTTGGTGTAGTTGATATAATCTTGCCCCTCCTACCTAGGATGTTGTGGGTGACAGGCTGTGTGTTGGTGTGTAGTTGATATAATCTTGCCCCTCCTACCTAGGATGTTGTGAATGACAGGCTGTGTGTGTGGGTGTGTAGTTGATATAATCTTGCCCGTCCTACCTAGGATATTGTGGATGACAGGCTTTGTGTGTGAGGTGTAGTTGATATAATCTTGCCCCTCCTACCTAGGCTGTTGTGGATGACAGGCTGTGTGTTGGTGTGTAGTTCATATAATCTTGCCCCTCCTACCTAGGATGTTGTGAATGACAGGCTGTGTGTGTGGGTGTGTAGTTGATATAATCTTGCACCTCCTACCTAGGATGTTGTGGATGACAGGCTGTGTGTGTGGGGGTGTAGTTGATATAATCTTGCACCTCCTACCTAGGATGTTGTGGATGACAGGCTCTGTGTGTGAGGTGTAGTTGATATAATCTTGCCCCTCCTACCTAGGCTGTTGTGGATGACAGGCTGTGTGTTGGTGTGTAGTTGATATAATCTTGCCCCTCCTTCCTAGGATGTTGTGGATGACAGGCTGTGTGTGGGTGTGCAGTTGATATAATCTTGCCCCTCCTACCTAGGATGTTGTGAATGACAGGCTGTGTGTGTGGGTGTGTAGTTGATATAATCTTGCCCGTCCTACCTAGGATATTGTGGATGACAGGCTTTGTGTGTAAGGTGTAGTTGATATAATCTTGCCCCTCCTACCTAGGATGTTGTGAATGACAGGCTGTGTGTGTGGGTGTGTAGTTGATATACACTTGCCCCACCTTCCTAGGATATTGTGGATGACAGGCTTTGTGTGTGAGGTGTAGTTGATATAATCTTGCCCCTCCTACCTAGGATGTTGTGGGTGACAGGCTGTGTGTTGGTGTGTAGTTGATATAATCTTGCCCCTCCTTCCTAGGATGTTGTGGATGACAGGCTGTGTGTGTTGGTGTGTAGTTGATATAATCTTGCCCCTCCTACCTAGGATGTTGTGGGTGACAGGCTGTGTGTTGGTGTGTAGTTGATATAATCTTGCCCCTCCTACCTAGGATGTTGTGGGTGACAGGCTGTGTGTTGGTGTGTAGTTGATATAATCTTGCCCCTCCTACCTAGGATATTGTGGATGACAGGCTTTGTGTGTAAGGTGTAGTTGATATAATCTTGCCCCTCCTACCTAGGATGTTGTGGATGCCAGGCTGTGTGTGTGGGTGTGTAGTTGATATACACTTGCCCCACCTTCCTAGGATATTGTGGATGACAGGCTTTGTGTGTAAGGTGTAGTTGATATAATCTTGCCCCTCCTACCTAGGATGTTGTGGATGACAGGCTGTGTCTAAGTGTACATTACTACTGCATTCATTACCTTCATTCACACATACTTAGACTCACATCCTTACCTTTTTTGTACTTTTTTTAGATTACAAACTTTTGCATTTCACACTTCTTAAATTACATTTACCATGAATTATTGCTTAAGTAGTATGTACTTGTATTTGTGAAAGATGCTTAATTCAAGTTTACAGTAAAGTATATATATTATACAAAATACATGTATTAGCAAGTAATTTGAGCTAGCTGTTCAGTCATATTGGAATGGGGTGGGGGTTATGGGAGGAATCAGGATGGGTGCTATTAATTGTTGTCCAATCTTTGTAGAGCTGTAGCCATTTGTAGGGGTCTGCCTAATTTTCTATTCTAATTTGCTTTTGTTTGTTTACAGATTGCGTCTAACTGTACCTCACTAGCCGTACACAAGGATTACCTTCTCCTGACGAGCCTCACTCACACTTGTCGGTGTATCAGCAGACAAACCAAGGTTCAAGGTCAGTCACACTGGATTCAAGGTTAAAGGTCAAGCTATGATGTTCGTAACATTTACCAGGCCATTATATACTGGACCTAGAATATACAATAAGTTCTTCTGAAGGATGTTTTCGGTATAAAGCGGATTATTACATGACTATTTAAAAATAATATTTTGTACTTTTGAATTTCGGGTTTAATTCTGGAATTTTTCGTATAATTATCATGTAAAAGTACATGTATTGAAACAGATGATAATCGCGATTCACTTAGTCAGTCAAATGTTTTGATTCCACAAGACAATCATAATGAAACTTACCACTTCATATTGGATCTACATACATGTATATGTCTATGTTTTAATGTTCCCAAGGATATTGTCTTATGTTAATGGTTGCATGGTTCTGTCATCACCTCAGTCTATATCTGTCCAAAGCTGTCAAACCTCCCCCGTTAGGAGGAAGACTCCCTCATTTTGACAAAAATTTACCAATCTCCCTTGAAACTCCCTCATTTAAGTCCAAACTCACACAAAGTCAAAATCTACATCCTGTAGTCAAATGATCTCCTAGTTACTGCAGGGTGTGTGTAATGATCAAAACAGGTGTGTCTGAATCAAATGAATGCTTTTTAGAGTTATTTTGATACATAAAAAGGGAAAGATAAATTGCGCAAAGCAGTTAATAAGTCGCATTTCTCCCTCATCCCACATTTCCAATGAGGGAAATCGCTAGCTCCCTCATTGGAGGTTTCAGAGGTCGACACCTATGTCTGTCTTTTGATTTTTGCACATTTCTTAGTCTTTGTGTATCCATGTGTTTCTCTTTCTCTCCTTCCTTCTTTCTGTTTTATCACTTCTTCCCCTGAATGTCACTGAATGTCTCTCTCTGTCTTTTGAATTTACCTTTAATACAGCATAAAGGATACTTTCCTGAGCATTATATTTCAGTTATATGTTTTGTAGATCTGCCCACGCTGTCAGACGGGAAGGCTCACCCATTTGATGAAAGTGTGCGTCGGGTGGAGAGGGGGTCCAGAATTGTTTGTGTCATTCAAGGTGAAACCAAGCTAGTCTTACAGATGCCCAGGGGTAACCTAGAAACCATCCACCCCCGGGCACTTGTGCTGTCTGCGGTCAGGAAGTACCTGGACAGGTGAGAGTGATCATAGGTGTGAAGATCTTACCTGTGTAGCAAGCACAGGGACTTGTTGGTATCTATTTCACAAGTATTGTCTTTTTCTGTACGTCCAATTCAAATTTGATCGTTAAAAGTAAGTTTTATCACATACATGTATAACGTTTTGCATTTCATTATAAGTGTGAACACCTTATACCCAGCACTCTACCCTTCAGTCACAGACTTTCGAAACGTCAGATTTTAGCTGTTAACTATAATACAACTGCTCGGCTTGAGATGACAAATTAGCATTTCGGTCTGTCCTGAAATATAACTTTGTCTTCCCTTGGAGATTTTACATACTTGAAGTATTGTACTGGTTTAAAAAATCTTCAACTCTGTTATGCCCCCCATGTTCAATATGGATAACAAGATGGGATCGAGACTTGTCTGTTTTTCATGACAAATAACACTTATTTATTGTATGGACATATTCAACAATTTTGTATTATACTTGTGCCATCTGCATTTTATATGTATGGTATTAAAGTTATATGATTAATAGAATGGTCTTTTTTCAAGGCGATGGTGTACAAAAGAGCGTTAAAAATTATCATAGCACTAAATAACTATAATTGTCGAACTACAAACTTTCACCCTTCACTCGTAAAAATCCATATTGCTCAGAGTATTTTTTCCCATCTTATGTGATTACTATGTTTGATATGCTGGCAACTATTATTTGCTCTCATGATAAATTTGCCCTTTAATATAAGGGAGGGCAAAAATGGCAAAATTGAAATTCTCATTTTCTATTTAGAAATGTCTTGGTCATCCAGTCAGTAAACTTTCTAGCCACTAAGCTAGAATGTAATATGTAACAAAGAAGAATTTCAGATTTTGTTATTACATACAAATTACCTTGTGTCCCGACAGTCTGGAGTTCGGCCAAGCCTTTGTGTGTATGAGGAAGCACCGGTTGAACTTAAACCTGATATACGATCACTGTCCTCAAAGTTTCCTCGACAACGTCCAGAAGTTTGTCCAGCAGGTCAAGCTTGTGGACTACATCAACCTCTTCCTCACAGATCTCAGGTAAACTGTTTTACTGTAAATCTCCTAAAAACTTTCTTGCTGTAAATCATAGATGGCAGGTAAAGTTTAATGCTGTAGAGGTCGGGTAAGCTTTCTTACTGGATATCTCTAATACTTTTGTCTATATACCTGGTATTTCAATGTTTGTATACATGTATCATGTACCTGGGACCTCTTGTTCCACGCATAGTGTGGCTGAGTGTTAATTTTTTATTTATTTTTTGAAATCTTTTTGTATTTGTACTTGAAAATACTTAATTGGTTTATTATTTGAAATTTGATTGACAAATGAAGATTTATATATTCCTTGATTAAATTTCTTTTGATTAACATTTTGGAAGTTATTGACTTCATAATTGACAACAATGCAAGCAACACATCATGAACTATTGTGATTGTTTATTTCAAGGTTTAATATGACAAGAGTCCTGCATATCTTTATTTCTTCTGGATAGACGTGTTACGGAGATTTTGAGTTTTTGTTTGATCACAGGGAGGAAGATTGTACAGTCACTATGTACACCGCAGCCTACAACCGGTCAGCTCCCGTCGTGGACGAGGGTACTAACCGCCCCAGTAAAGTGGACAAAGTGTGTGAAGTAGTCAGACAAGCACTGGTCAGTGAGGATGAAAAGAAGTAAGCTCACTCTCTTTTAAACCCCAGACATTTTTACCAGTGACTGATCTCTTTTCCCGGATTTGATGAGACACATCATGCTGGCTATCACATAGTGCAGGAAACTTTCACCGTTTTTTAGAACCCAACATTTTTATAGGGACAGGCCTGTAGTGTTACGTCACGTTGGGTCATATCCTGTCCCATTACCACTCAATGTCATGGCTCATTCAACTTCATTTCTGTTAAGATTTTCATCAAATTTTATTCAAAGTTCAAATAGGAGAATACCTCGAATGAGTTTGTATTCCAGTTTCCCAAGGTCAAATCCAAGATCACTGTTGCTATTTATAGGTCTGTCAGGTCAAAGTCACTGATGGAAAATTGTCATATTATGGTACAAGTTCTACAGGGCCAAGGGGCACTCCTGTCTTACAGATGTTGTCTAGTTCATTTTGTGTTGAAAGGCCTGGGGATGTAATGCCGTTCCTTCTGTTTGATACATCTCCAGTTCCTGTTGTTTGATTTTCGTATCAACTTCCCATTTTGTCCTTGTATCTTGATGCTGTGGTTAAAAAAACTCTATTTGTCTTGCAATCAATTTCAAGATATGTTAGTGCCCGATTCGGATGTGATGTAATTGATCTTTGAAAGGTTTTTGTGAAATTCATGTTTCATCTCAAACGAGGAGACAAATGTCTCATATTAAGCATATTTAAAAATAATTGCCTTCAGCACCGTTTGTCAAACATGTATCTATCAGCTAACTGAGTCATGGCTCATAAAAAATCTGTTAATTGGTATAGTATTTAGATAAACCTTATGTCAGGTTCATATGAAATTTGTGTCGTTTTCTGAGAAAACTCGAATCCTGGTAAATCTATTATAAGTACTAGTTGTAGTTCTTTTAAGGATAAACATTTTAGAATACCGTAAATTGCCTTCAAAAAGGAATTGCTTCTCACAGTTAATGTTGAATGTCTGCGTTTCCCAGGTATCTTCTGTCAATACTGACGTCTTATGTGCGAAAAAGTACCCCAGAGCTGGAAGCTGCCTTGTTAATGGTCAAAACACTCAGAGGTCAGTATTACAGTACTGGCCAGTCACTTAAATTTCAGTCTTTACAAGTTTTTTATGCTTTTAAAAAGACAAAATTTACATCTCTCTAATTTTTGAAATCATCTTTTATCACTTATGAATATGAACAATACCAACAAATGGTAAATAGAAAGGGAAAAAGTTTTCATTCTTAAGCAAACGAAAAAGAAGTATAAACTGAATAAAAAACATGAAATTTAATTGAAAAGAAACAAATCTACAAATCATTGCATTGATACATGAATATGTTTTCCTTGAGGTTATTGTAAGTTAGAATGTTTGTTTTGGCATCGTTACATTACTAAAACAATGTATTGATGCTGGACCTCAGCCATGCCGAGTGACCAACAGACCATGTCCGCGGAGGAGGTTCTTAAGTACCTGGTCTTCCTGGTGGACGTTAATGAGATGTTTGACGTTGCCCTTGGAACCTACGACTTTGATCTTGTCTTAATGGTTGCCGAGAAATCACAGAAGGTAAGTTGTACATATAAAAGCTCTCAACAGGTCTTTACTTCAGGTACTTGTATCATTTGTATAATTTGTTATTGAAATCTCTTTGTAAATAATCATTTGTATGTTTAAATGCCCTGCCCACTGTTTTTTTCTATATACATGTACAGTAACCTCCCCTTAACTTCTGTTTGGATATAAATGGGGCCTATTTGTTTATGCGGAACAACCAGTTTGTCCGTTTTTAAATGTAACATTTTTGGGTATAAATCCGGGCGGACCTGCAAATGTTTATGCAGGCCTTGCAAGGCTTTGTCAAGGCTCACCTGAAAGCAGCATCATATTTTACTAGGTCCGACCTTATTTATTAAACGAACAACGTTGGTTCGACTGGTTCAATCCTTTTTACATAAACGGCCCAGTTAAAACAAGTTAGGCCATGACACATCCATTGATTAGGTAGCTCAACTGGCTAGAGCTATAGTATAACAATCTTATGTCCAGGGTTCAAGTCCTAAGCTAGCCCCTCTGAGTTTTTATACACAAAACACTGTTTTATATTATGCTTTGTTTATTTCATCTTTATTATTTCTCATAAAAGATAGGCAAGGTATTTTGCTTTCTGTTCAGAAATAATCTATCAAAGCTATAGTCATGCAGAACAGTTTCCGCCACTTTTGTTTTTACAGTTTTTGGTCATTGGTCCAGGGATCCTTATGTCTCTTTGTTTTGATGTGCTGTGAACTACCATCTTGTTTCATTTCAATGTTGTCAATGTTCGGCGAACTACCATCTTGCTGTGACACTTCACCTACTCCTTGCAACACACATCTAAAATCAGTTGTTTTCTAAAGTGTAAACAATCTTTGATAAGTGAAAACATTGTGTTTTTTTATTTACTGTGAATCTGTTGTCTACTCCATAGGATCCAAAGGAATATATTCCATTCCTGAACAAGCTTCGCAAGCTTGAGGGACACTTTCAACTCTACACCATAGACGAGCACCTCAAACGGTACAGCAACGCACTGGGACACATCAGTAAATGTGGTAAGTATCATTCGTAAAAAGCTACTGACATTGCTTATACACTATATACAATTTCCAAGTCCCATTTCTGTATTCTCCATAATAAGCACCAAGGTTATTTAAAAAATTGGCTGAAGGGGGCACTCATTAAGATGACGAAACAGATATTGTGGCAGTTCCTATGACATATTTGTCAAGACACGTTCCTAAAAAAAAAAATTCGTCAGACTGCGAAACTAGTATCTGATATGAAGTACCTATACCATGTTTGCATTGTATGATACTTTTCATTGGTTAATGACGTTCTATTATTGGGCCCTAGACCTTGAGCAGATGTGTATTATTTCTTAATAGACTAAGCACGTGCAACGCTCTTCCAAAATATATAACTCAAGATTTGAAAATGTTTGAAAAATAATCAACTCGGGCTGCAAGCAAGCCTCATTAATTATTTTCTTACCCTCAATATATATTCCACTATAATATGCACACATGTGTTGATTATTTCTTAAATATGCCCATCGTCTATTTGACTATCATTTCATATCTATAGGTCCAGAGCACTTTGAGACTTGCAAGACGTTGATACAGAAACACAAACTATATACAGAGGCTCTACAACTATTCCCAGTGTCTTCAGAAGAATACAAGGTATGCTAGGTGATTTTGAGGAATTTTTTCTTGCAATATTTGCATTATTCAAATGCAGTAAAATCTTGCTATGCTGCCACCATTTGTCCAGTGTTTATACAATAAAACCTTGTTATATTGCCACTGGTTGCCATGCAACAGCTGTATCTCCGCTGCATTTCTGTTCTTTATACATGTTTTGGATGTCACTACAGTGTAATTATGTCACATCATTGTATGTCTTGTTAAGAGCTAAACAACGAGTTGATATTGAAGATGAAGACATGATTCACTGACAAATTGATATATTATAGGATGAACTTGAATTAAAGTAAATTTTAAAACTTCAGTTTCGGGGGCGTTGAAATGCTTAGCACATATCTAGAGAGTGAATTCGATAAAATGAAAGTATGAACTTATGTGAAACCAGCTTGGAAACGAGAATAAAGAGAGCTTCAAGTTCACTGAATCTAAATTTCATTTTTTGTATTTACAGAGCATTGCAAAATTATATGGCGATTATTTATCAGACAAGCGTCGCCACCTGGAGGCAGGAATAATATACCTTAACGCAGAAGAGTGGGAAAGGGCTCTTCAGGACTTTCAAGTATGTCTACAGTGGCGTCAGGTCTTCTGTATGACTGCCAGGCTCAAATACAGCTGTGATACAGAGGCTGACATTGCTCGCAAACTTGCAGGTACTGTTACGTAAAGTTACTTCTGCATCTAAAGACCTTAAAGTCGTATTTATTATAATCAGAAATCCCAAGTTTAATTGTGTTCAGATTTATTGCTTTACTTCAAATCGGGGAAAAAAAGATCCATAAAATAATTTGTGAAATAAAATTAGAAACTAGATTTATAGCGATGACTGGATTATTGAGACTGGATAACATTCCTTTCAGTGCCTGATACCTTGTCAATGAAATGCTATCACATCACTTTGCAGTGTGAGTGCATGGTAATACAGGAGGCTTTACTTCAATGTTAGAAGGGAAAATTCTTGGTAACATATATTTGGGTTGTTGGGTACGTGGTACTGTGTATAGTCTTTTGCCAAGACAGCCCTAGGTTTCCTTCGAGTTCTCTGGTTTTCCTCCCATATTAGGATCCCCTGTGCAATTCCATCTTAGCCAGCAACAGTTATTAATTCAAGTGGAAATAACTTGTTTCATAATTGTTTGTAAAACAAATGAAGATTTTATAAATAAATATTTTGTAAAGGGTAAACCAATGGGCACAGAAAGGGAGAGAAGCAATTGGCATGTTTTTTTAAAGAATAGAAGTAGAAATACACCTATTGACAGACTGGTTTCTTTTCCATCCGTTACTGCAGTCGATAATTTGCAGTCCGGCATCATTTGTTCAGCAGAATGTTGGAATTGATATAAAGGGCTTTGACTATACATCAAGGGAGACATGCATAAATTGTCAAGAAAAAGGAGAGAAGGGGACCTTAAAATATGTTGCTCGTAAAAAAGCTTAAGGTGGCAAAAAACCCGACCAACATTATATCAAGGTTTTACTGTACAGTGTTGGTTTATTAAAAGGTATTGAACTTCTGATGTAATTTTATAATTTCAGAACAAATGAAGATGAAGAAGCAATACCTGGATGCAGCTCATGTCTTGGAACAATATGCTAAGGTAACTTGTGCTTAAATACATTGGACTCCAATGCAGTTAGGGTTTCATTGTAAAATTTGCGAACATCACAGAAGTACATTTTCAATAGAAAAAGTGATAAGAACTCTCTTAAAAAACCACCCAGATTATTTTTATGTATAATGGTTCAGATCTTGTTCCTCTAAATGTAATGCTGTATTCCGATTTTATTGTATTGAATGTAGTCTGGTTTAATAGGCAGCTCCTCTGAAAAACAGAGTAGATTGATACTCTGTACATGACATAGTACAAAAGTAAGTATTATATTGAATGGCTTTGCCAAAACAAATTGTTTCAAGTCAAAGCTTAAGTTGAATTTAGATGGTGAAGAAAAAAGAGCATGGTTGACAGGATAAGAGATCTATATGGTCCATAATTAACACAAACAGAAGTAAATTTTTAGTAATTTTGTGGCAACACATCTGGAATATCATGACCGACTAACGGTGTAGGTGTTTCAGTATTCAAAGATTTTGTTGTGAGACAGGTAATTATTCACCAAAGGATTCTTTTTATTATGATTGAATGTTTTTATTTTCTAAAAGTCAGATTTATAGAATGTTATATGGAAGAATTTTATGGTTTCTAGGATACAGAGGAGGCTATAGTCTGCCTTATTGATGGCTGCTTGTGGGAGGAAGCTCTGAGAATGGTAAGTCATGTCAAATAGCCATTGAAATAACATATTATAGCCCTCAAAGTTATATTGGTTTTGTTATTGAACATTGTCATTTGTTGTTTATGATAGACTGGGATATCTGTACCATATTCTGGTTTATGTGATTTGTCGTTACAGATGTACAAATATGGCAGAACAGACTTTATAGAGACACACCTGATGGAAGCCCTCACTGAGAATTATAATCAACAGATGGAAACACTAGAAAACTGCAAGTCAGAATTTGATAAATACAAAAAACGTCTTGCAGTCGTCAGGGAGGAGAAAGAAAAAGCACGTCTGGAATTTCTAGGTAATTCTTTTCACCAGATCAAAATATTGTATTACCTAGCATGTTCTGTTTATTCTAAGTTTTAATTCATTAATTGCTTAAATTTTAATAACATCACATCAAGTATACGTATTAGGTGACACTTTTTGGTCCCGACACCTTGTTACATTCTAGATTGGTGGCTGGATTCCGATTATAAAACAGCTGAAATGATTAATTAATAGTTTTGATAGGATAAAGATAAATAATTAATATATCTTAAATATGACTGGCTAGGTAGTGGAACATTCAGATTATCTATGGCTGGATTAGCAAGGCTGATTAATGGGACATTCTGGTTATCTATGGCTGGATTAGCAAGGCTGGTTTGTGGGACATTCTGATTATCTGTGGCTGGATTAGCAAGGCTGGTTAGTGGAACATTCTGATTATCTGTGGCTGGATTAGCAAGACTTGGTAGTTGGACATTCAGATTATCTATAGCTGGATTAGCAAGGCTGGTTAATGGGACATTCTGATTATCTATCGCTAGATTAGCAAGGCTGGTTAGTGGAACATTCTGAATATCTGTGGCTGGATTAGCAAGGCTGGGTAGTGGAACATTCTGATTATCTGTGGCTGGATTAGCAAGACTTGGTAGTTGGACATTCAGATTATCTATAGCTGGATTAGCAAGGCTGGTTAATGGGACATTCAGATTATCTGCGGCTGGATTAGCAAGGCTGGTTAATGGGACATTTAGATTATCTGTGGCTGGATTAGTAAGGCTAGATAGTGGAACATTCAGATGATCTGTGGCTGGGTTAGCAAGGCTGGGTAATGGGACATTCAGATTATCTGTGGCTGGATTAGCAAGGCTGGTTAATGGGACATTCAGATTATCTGTGGCTGGATTAGTAAGGCTTGTTGGTGGGACATTCAGATTAGTGATGACGATATTAGGAAGGCTGTATACTAGGACAACTGGATTAGCGATGGTTTGAATAAGAAATCTAGATGGTTGGAAAACCGCATAAGTGGTGGCTGGATCAGCAAAGCTGGAGGGTTTTACAGTCAGATTAATGGTTGCTTGTTAGAAGGCAATCCAGAGTAGTGGTTGTCTGATAGTGGGCCATCTAGATTAGTGTTGGCAAGATTGACGAGGCTGGATAGTGGGACAACCAGATTTATATTGACTGGATTAGGAAAGCTAGATATTTAGACAACCAGAGTAGTGGTGGCTGGGTAGTATAGTGGGCCTACCAGATTAGTGGTGACAAGATAAAAAATGCTTGTTAGTTTCACAACCAGATTAGTGGTGGCTGGATGATTGAGACTCGATAATGGGACAACCAAATTTGTGTTGACTAGATTAGGGTGGATAGAAAATGGGACAACCAGATTAGTGATGGATGGATGAATGAGGCTAGATAGTGGTAAAAGCAGATTAGCAATGACTGGATAAGGAAGGCTGTAAACTTGCAGAGGACTTATATAGGCTTGTCTGTAGTCCAATCCATTTATTATTGAACAATAAAATTTGTTGAAATGACATATTAGGAAAACTGGATTAGTGGTTGCTTGAATAAGTAACCAATTAACTGTTAACCCTAGTATATAGATATCAAGGCCAACCATATGTCACCAAAAGTAAGCTGTTACACATTCTGTAGTAGACATTTTCAATGCGATGAATATCATTATGTTTTAGAAAGTGGAGGAGCTGGAAACTTTGCGGATGCCGATTTATTTTCTGACACAAGTAGTGCCACAGGGGAGAGCATCCAGTCGTCACGATATTCATCCGAGTCTGCGCGCTCAGGGCGCTCATCACTCTATAGTAAATCGTCAGGGTAAGTGTAAAGGGCTTTATATAGCTCTCTACAGTAGGTATAGACTTTATTCATTTTACAAGAATTATGATACAAGTTATTTCAACTTATATTACTCCCTGTTGTTGACCTGGATATTACCGCACAGGGGTCTTAATGTGGGAGGAAACCGGATTACCCGGAGAAATCCCACTTGGTTGGGCAGGTGACCCAATACCTTTTCATATCTGATCATACACTGCCTTGGTGAAAGGCAAGTGCAGTATCCACCGTGCCACCCAAACACCATGTACATGTAGATCACCAGGGCATGTATATGCTCATTAGAGAAAGTCTTTTAAAATTTATTAGTCCCCATTCACTGAACTCTTTATTGATGCACTTATTCTCTGTGCAGATCGTCAGTTAAGAACCGACGGAAGGCGGAACATAAAAGGTGGAAGCTGAAGGAGGGTAGTCAGTTTGAGGATTTTGCACTTATTGCCGCACTCGCAAAACTCATTAAAATGGTGGATGACATGAGAGGTAATGCTGAATACAGTGGTATTTTTTAATCAGTAGTTAAACAAACTGCTGAATTGTTCAAAGTACGATTAGCTTTACGGCTGGTTGACCCAAATATTCAAAATGTTACTTTTAGGAAATATCTGAATATTTTCAAAGATTTCCATGTTGGTTGTCTTCAGACGATCATTTTGAATCCCTTTATATGTAATGTTGGTTTTGAATTACAATCTTTTTGAACAGATTTTAGATTAAAAATTTGTTTTAATTTGTCGTTAAGCTAACTAGACTTTTAACGACTGGACCTTATTGATATTCTTTATTGACGCTACTGTTTTAAAGGATTTTCTTTTATTTCAAGTGTTAAGGATCCCTATTCCACTGCACTGTGTTTTTTCTCACATATACAGTGACCTCCCTTTAGTTTCTAACGGATAAAACTGTACCACAGTTGTTACAGGACACTTCCGTTGACCAGGTCAGTTAGATAAATGGCATAACAATTTGTTTTTTGGGTTTCAAATCCTTGTTTAGTTGCGATTTTTTTACGCACAGAACAATATGTTGTTAAATATATTTTGTTTATTTCATCTCTATTATTTTTCATAGTCTTGCAAGGTATGAGTGTATTATTACAGAAAGAAAGATTTGTTTATATTTATGCCAGCAACATCAGTTTCCAGTGCATGGTTGCAGTTGTTGGCAGCAGTATGAGGATCCTTTAATCTCTGCTTAAATTCTTACATCAGATTTGTTTTTGTCTGTCTTAGTGTATGATTTTATAACAGCTATCAATGAGCTTACCGTACTGTTAATATGCATATTCTAGAAGTTAGTCTTATTGTAGCGCTTTTTGTACTTAAGATATTGGATTTCCTGGGTATTGTTTTCTATTGCCTATTTTGTGGGCGTGCCAATTCATCAATACGCTCATCTGTTTAAATTAGATTAAGCTCTAAAATTTGAGTGGGCTAAATAAGTATGTTAACAGTATCTTTCATCAGACATTGAAGTTAGAATATTTACTCTACATAATGGGTTTTGCATAGATGTGTTGTATAAAGATCATGATTTTTTTCAGCAAATTCTGTAAAAAAAAGTCTCAGATAAAGGTTAATATTTCATCAGTAAATCCAAGTCGGACCACTACAGCAGAACATCTCATAACTAAGGCATCAAAGTATTCCGAAAAGATTTATAAATTGCATATATATACCTTGGGGTTATGCCATCGACAGAAATTGAGGTCAGCTTGGAGACCATTCCAAGTATAAGGGGGTAACAGTAGGGGACCAAAATGACAAATGGCCTCTTTTTGACAAAGATGCAAATAATGAAAATGGCCAAAAACACTAGCACATAGTTGATATGCAGATCATAGTGACCTTGTTATATACCGGCTTAATCGTGTCACTGATAATCTCATTTTGTGCCTAAAAATACAAATTAGAACCATACAATAATCTTACCCAGTTGTATTTGTAAGTTTCTTAACCAAATCTCAAGAACAATTTGTTATTCTGTAGCAAGATGAAACAGGTTTTTATTAACTTTAAACTTATTCAACTCTGTTATTTTTTTTATTAAGTAGACCTTTTCTTAAAACTAAGGTTTACCATTACATGATAAAACAATAAGATTTATATTCCTTTTCAGATGAGATGAATGCCCTGTTACGTGTCCTACTACAATTCCACCAATACAAACAGGCTGCTGACATACAGCGTGCTTACGATCGCCTCCTCACCCAGATGGATCGAGGTATCCCGGAAATCTGGCAGGACAGCGAGGAGGGGAAAGAATCTCAGCCAGTAAGTCAGGTGTAGTCTCTGCCAGGTCCCGTTACACTGCGATGTATTCATCCGTGTGTTAACGGCTTGAAATTGACAATCTGCATCATAAATATTCTGTTTTGTCATTATATGTATTGTTATATATGATGTTGCTAGATATCTGATCACTGTGAACGACGTTGTCTTCCTTGTAAGGACAGACTACATATTCAAATGTACCTTTAGTAGTGTAGAGCCATTTTTATTTGAGGCCCCAGATGGGATATTTGTAGTCTTCAGCAAACTTAAATAGATTTTTTCGAACTAAAAGATCGGGGGAAAAATCTATTACGACTCAGTTGGAATTATGTTACAGAATCTTAGCCCGAGACTGAGATAACCTGATCTTGCTCAGTTACAGGTAAAAGATTTTATTAGTGTTGGACAACTTCACATTTTGTAGTGGGAAATTTCAAACTGATCCTGTGGTGAAGCTTTGTACAATTCTGATGGAAACTTTTTACCAAAAGATTGACTTGATAATGTTCATAAAGATATTTAAACCATAGACAGTTTACGCAATACCGGGGAAATAACCAACGTCCAATATGTGTGAAGGAATGTTCAGAATTATCATCTAAAAATTCAGAAGGATACCTAGTGGTATACAGAAACTGTTTTATGATATGATAAGCACAGCAAATAACAAAAGGAGAGAAGCAACTCCTGAATCAATGTTTCCATAATTGTATTCATGCCTGTGCTGACTAGTTTCGGCCGGCTTGACTGAACAGTAACTGTGTAGCAGTCACAAAATGGCTGTGCTCTGACTAACTTGCATCCTTAATCATTCTAAGAAAATATTCCACATTATTTGAAAAGCGATAGTTCACCTACTATATCCTGCACTTATATAAAAACCGTTACATCTGAAGTGTTTTAACACATAAAGTATCAAGTTATGTCAGATGAACTAAGATTAGGTATGTTTTTTTAGTTAATGGCCATGAACTCTCGTCCTAGGTATCTTTGTAATAAGTTATTGGTGAACTTTCACCCCTAGGGTACAATGTTAATTACTTCATGAGTTCTCTGACCTAGGCTACTATTGTCAGATATTGGGTGAGCTGTCATTATAAGAGTACACTTGACCATGAATTTTTAGATACCAAGCTAATCATAATAAAAAGCTTTAATTTGTCACCAGATGCTCGGTCCCATGACAACAGCCAACAGTATTGCACAGGCAGTGCAACGAGGTCAATCTTTGGAACATTCCCAGGAAAAGCTTGGTAAGTAATTGGTATTAACAGTACCATGATATCTTATTTGTATTCACATTAACAGGTATCTTGTCTGTATTTACATTAACAGGTATCTTGTCTGTATTTACAATAAAAGGTATCTTGTCTGTATTTACAATAAAAGGTATCTTGTCTGTATTTACAATAAAAGGTATCTTGTCTGTATTTACAATAAAAGGTATCTTGTCTGTATTTACAATAAAAGGTATCTTGTCTGTATTTACAATAAAAGGTATCTTGTCTGTATTTACAATAAAAGGTATCTTGTCTGTATTTACAATAAAAGGTATCTTGTCTGTATTTACAATAAAAGGTATCTTGTCTGTATTTACAATAAAAGGTATCTTGTCTGTATTTACAATAAAAGGTATCTTGTCTGTATTTACAATAAAAGGTATCTTGTCTGTATTTACAATAAAAGGTATCTTGTCTGTATTTACAATAAAAGGTATCTTGTCTGTATTTACAATAAAAGGTATCTTGTCTGTATTTACAATAAAAGGTATCTTGTCTGTATTTACAATAAAAGGTATCTTGTCTGTATTTACGATAAAAGGTATCTTGTCTGTATTTACAATAAAAGGTATCTTGTCTGTATTTACAATAAAAGGTATCTTGTCTGTATTTACAATAAAAGGTATCTTGTCTGTATTTACAATAAAAGGTATCTTGTCTGTATTTACAATAAAAGGTATCTTGTCTGTATTTACAATAAAAGGTATCTTGTCTGTATTTACAATAAAAGGTATCTTGTCTGTATTTACAATAAAAGGTATCTTGTCTGTATTTACAATAAAAGGTATCTTGTCTGTATTTACAATAAAAGGTATCTTGTCTGTATTTACAATAAAAGGTATCTTGTCTGTATTTACAATAAAAGGTATCTTGTCTGTATTTACAATAAAAGGTATCTTGTCTGTATTTACAATAAAAGGTATCTTGTCTGTATTTACAATAAAAGGTATCTTGTCTGTATTTACAATAAAAGGTATCTTGTCTGTATTTACAATAAAAGGTATCTTGTCTGTATTTACAATAAAAGGTATCTTGTCTGTATTTACAATAAAAGGTATCTTGTCTGTATTTACAATAAAAGGTATCTTGTCTGTATTTACAATAAAAGGTATCTTGTCTGTATTTACAATAAAAGGTATCTTGTCTGTATTTACAATAAAAGGTATCTTGTCTGTATTTACAATAAAAGGTATCTTGTCTGTATTTACAATAAAAGGTATCTTGTCTGTATTTACAATAAAAGGTATCTTGTCTGTATTTACAATAAAAGGTATCTTGTCTGTATTTACAATAAAAGGTATCTTGTCTGTATTTACAATAAAAGGTATCTTGTCTGTATTTACAATAAAAGGTATCTTGTCTGTATTTACAATAAAAGGTATCTTGTCTGTATTTACAATAAAAGGTATCTTGTCTGTATTTACAATAAAAGGTATCTTGTCTGTATTTACAATAAAAGGTATCTTGTCTGTATTTACAATAAAAGGTATCTTGTCTGTATTTACAATAAAAGGTATCTTGTCTGTATTTACAATAAAAGGTATCTTGTCTGTATTTACAATAAAAGGTATCTTGTCTGTATTTACAATAAAAGGTATCTTGTCTGTATTTACAATAAAAGGTATCTTGTCTGTATTTACAATAAAAGGTATCTTGTCTGTATTTACAATAAAAGGTATCTTGTCTGTATTTACAATAAAAGGTATCTTGTCTGTATTTACAATAAAAGGTATCTTGTCTGTATTTACAATAAAAGGTATCTTGTCTGTATTTACAATAAAAGGTATCTTGTCTGTATTTACAATAACAGGTATCTTGTCTGTATTTACAATAAAAGGTATCTTGTCTGTATCCATATGAAAATTGTTTAAATAGCAATTCTGTTGTTGTATAAGATTTGAACTGCTTTCAATTGACATTCATCCTTAATATGAATACAAACTAGAAACCTTCAAATTGAACATGAAGCACAGACATATTGTGAAATTTTGTATCACCAATTGCATTTCCTGACAACTATTTGAAGGGGCTGGTCGGGGAAAAAATGTCATATTTGCTTAAATGGCATACACATGTTTAAAATACCTTCTTATGAAATATACCGATTCAAATTTTGCTGAAATTCACTCCCTAAGAGTAAAAATTCTAATTATATTAAAGACATCCTAAGTCGTCACCTGACAGTCTAAAACTCTCAATTGACCCAGATCAGTGATGTAATTTTACTGCATGCGTGTCATCAACAAGGCCAAATGTAAACATTGCAGCGAAAGAAAAAGATGCAGGCAAAAGTCATGACAGGCACGAGGTATCAATACCGTTATATATAACAACAACATATAGGTAGGAATACTACACTAGCATCATACATGACCTTTGAAAACAATTATTTACGTATACTATTGCTGTCTTGTCCGCTAGTTGAGTCCGATATGGCTGATAGATGGCATGCTATTGTTGTTATCTTCACTGCCTCACTGTCGAAACAACCACGTGACATATATAAATAGATCTGCGCTAAATTTACGCGGGTCTTCCCCGAGATTTCAGTGGTCAAAACTGGACATTGCAAGCAGATATCGACCATCAAATTGCCGTGGTATAACTTTTGGAAGGCCAGAGAACGCATTTAGACCCATTTATATTGTATTTGTTTCCCCGACCAGCCTCTTTAAATTCTTAGAATTTTAAAATTATTTAAAAAAAATATACACATCTTATTACTTTTGTGTTTTCAGACCCAGTTATCCGGATACCTCCGACTCTACGTAAGGAAGTCAGTTGGAAGCTGCATGTGTTGGACTCTGGGTCATCCAAGACTTGACCCCTTTGTTTTTTACTGCTATGGGACCCAACCTGATTTATTTCACTAGTGCAATATGATACTTCCTCTGGAGAAAATGTAAGACATGACGTTTTATTGAAATGGACAGCAAACATCTTGAAATCAATCTGTGATTGCTGGTGATACCGACAACATGATAAAATATATTGTTCACAGTGCTGACATGTATACTCTCAAAACTGATCTTTACTAAGATATTGAAATTGAATATTAAAAACTTATGATATGTTAAGTATTAAAGTGGTCACTATATTATCATAATTTGTTCAGTTTTAAGCTGATCTTTACCGAAGGACCAGTGAGCTTTATGCCAATGTGTGTTGTCATCTGTCAGTAGGAACTTTTCATTTGAAATGCTACTTTCCCAGAACAGCTGAACCGATTTTGACCGAATTTGGTCTGGAGTATTGTTTGGCAAAGGCAACGCAATCTTTTGTAAACAAGGGTTGTGGCTTTTCTTGGGACAGAGGGGCAGGGTCCAATGGGTAAAATTATGGTAGATCTTTACCTGATGAGGTATTTTCACAAAATTTTATTTAATGTATCTTTGGGCCAAGGGGACTCATTGATAAAGAAGGATGTAATTGTAAAGCGCAATTGGGGAAGTTTAGGTAAATCTTTATAATCCTTCTTCTTCTGTACAGATGAAGCAATTTAGAACAAATTGGATATAGAGCAGCACCCTTTGGGCCAAAGGAATTTAAAGTTGTATAAATGGAGGGTGTGTCCTCCCACTGGGGGAAGACGAATACAAAGACATAAGACAAATACATTCATGTGACTAGATTTGCCCTGGGGTCATAACTAAGAAATGGTTGAGATCCCCACCCTTTAGCCAAATATACATTTCTAGGCATGAAGAGGCAAAAACACTCATACAAACAGGATTGTCATGGAGGTCTAGCCTCGCCTCTTGGGACTTAGTCCCTTGGTCATAATTTGGAAACAGTCTAGTGACACCCACCCTATAACTATATATAAACAATCAATGCTTATAATTAATCATAACTGAATGCTGTGAAAATAAAACATGACTAGAAAATTGTTTTAAAAGGGTACAGTGGTGGAACACTACGGTAAAATAGGAATAAAGGAAAGTTTTATACAGAGAACCATAATAATTATAATAATTATTCCAGGTTCTTATACTGTGCATACTGCTTTATCACAACCTAGTTCGTAGGTCGTCTCAAAGCGGTTCACAAATTATCATCCATGGTTATAGGGCCTTTGCAACCAGCCAATATCTTTCTCAACTCCCTGGGGAGCATACAGCCGGTGCTGCCATTTCGGCGCTCACAGCTAGCATTCTACTATTCTAGCACTACCCAACCACATAATCATTTACAGCTGAGTAGACTGGAACAATGCAAGCGGAGTAAAGTGTCTTAAGATACAAAACAGTGCCGTACAGTGAATCGAACCCCGAACACTTAGGTCAGGAGCCCGGCGTCCTACCACTAGACTACCGTGCCTCCATGAAAGAGTAACAGAGAATAAGACCGCTTTCTCTGAATTTGAGCTTGTATTACTATTTATCTTTCGAATTAAAATCATAGCTTTTTACCACTTAAAAGGAAGAACGTTTACCAGAACATTCCCTTTTACACATCCATGCTGTCTGGGTATAAAAATAAGGGATTTTACGCACCTCCCCTTCTGTTTCAACAGTAGTTTAGACCAATTTGGATATCCAGCTTTTTGGCCCCTAGAAGGACGAAACAGCAGTACGGTGCAGTGTAATTCATTTTTGACATACTGTATCGATTATCAATGTAACGTTTATACTTCTTCCACTACTGACATGATTTCATACTTTCCTGGCTAATGAATTCTGTTAAATGCGTCAATTAAACTCAAAACTAACAAGTTCAGTTTAAATTAACTTATCACTCATTTATTACAGAAAAAAAGCAAGTTTTCAAGTGTACTAGACGGCTTTGTTTATGATTATGAGCGTTTCCAAACAATGTCTATAGTTACTCAACATTAAGTACAACCTACTTTAAGTCTCTTAGTACATTCCCCCAGGTCTCAGTCCCTATACCAACTACAAGTGCAACACTTGACACTAAAAAAAGTCCAAAATTCTATGGATCCAAGACCGACACTTTCTGGGTCCAAGACTACACCTAAAAGCTATCAGAGTCCAAGACCTGCACACCTTCTCCCTGGGCCCAATACCCGCACAACTAACTCTCTATCCAAGACAACAACTAACTCCCTGTCCAAGACCACAACTAACTCCCTATCCAAGACCACAACTAACTCACTGTCCAAGACCACAACTGACTCCTTGTCAAAGACCACAACTAACTCCCTATCCAAGACCACAACTAACTCCCTGTCCAAGACCACAACTAACTCCCTATCCAAGACAACAACTAACTCCCTGTCCAAGACCACAACTGACTCCTTGTCAAAGACCACAACTAACTCCCTGTCCAAGACCACAACTAACTCCTTGTCCAAGACCATAACTAACTCCCTATCCAAGACCACGACTAACTCCCTTTCGAAGACCACAACTAACTCCCTTTTCAAGACCACAACTAACTCCCTGTTCAAGACCACAATTAACTCCTTGTCCAAGACCACAACTAACTCCCTATCCAAGACCACAACTAACTCACTGTCCAAGACCACAACTGACTCCTTGTCAAAGACCACAACTAACTCCCTATCCAAGACCACAACTAACTCCCTGTCAAAGACTACAACTAGCTCCCTGTTCAAGACCACAACTAACTCCCTGTCCATGACCACAACTAACTCCCTGTCCAAAACCACAACTAACTCCCATTTCAAGAACACAACTAACACCCTGTCCAAGACTTCCACTCTATTCTCCAATCCAAGACTTCTACTCCCTTGGCCCAGCCCAAAGCCACTAGCCCTAACTTCCCAGCTGGTCAGCGCTTGTCTACCAAACATCTTTACTGATTAACTGCCCTATTCAAACGGTTGTCAATCTTTCCAAGTTAAAATAACTTCTCTTCAAGTGAAATGATACTCTAAAACCAGAAACAATTTTTTAACCTGCAAACAAATGAGTCGCCACACCAATTGTCTAAAGGTGTAATCACGTGGGTTTGTGTTGATTGATTGAATGATACTCTAAAACCAGAAACAAATTCTTATCACCAAACAAATAAATCACCACACCAATTGTCTAAAGGTGTAATCACGTGGGTTTGTGTTAATTGATTGATTGGTTTTACGCCCACTTCACTACCGAGTAATTCGGTTATCCAGCAGACGAATGAGTTTGTGTTATGTACGTTCATCTTATAAGGGCTGTTCAAGTTAACGTTGCTGCAGGCCTTGAACAACTCATTCATTTTCATCTTTATTTCCTCCAAAATATTGAAAAGTACAACAGGTACGACGAACAAAGAGTGCAAGTGGGATTAGAAAAAAAAGTGCAAACAAAAATTGACATATAACTGAGTTAAATATCATTCTTTCATAAATGACGCACCAAGCAGCCCGGTTACCTAGGTATCACTCTCTCTGACTGGTCAACAGGCACGAAAACATGCACGGGATATCTTTTTACAATGTCAGTAAAAGGACTAACAAGATTCAATCAAATTTGCTTATTCCAAAACCTTGCAATGTCATACATAAACAATGATCAGAATTGGCAACTGTTTCTTCAAATGAACCCTTGCAACGAGCACATAATACTTCACAATCGGGTAGGGTATTCTGGTGTGACGTTGAAAATGGACCCCCTGTTGAAAATGGGACCGGGGTCAGTTTTCAACATTGAAAATGGAACCTAATGCAAATTTATTTTTACATTCACGTTGAAAATGGACCCCCGTTGAAAAGTGAACCATATGAAAGTTGATATATTGATTTGAAATATCCACTTTGATTATACTTAATGAAGTCCAGCGACCTATTTCTAGAAAATAACTCAGTATGGATGTCTGACCTTATTAGGTCAATGTGACCTACATTTGGATATTTGACCTACATTATAAAAAGTTGTCACCGGGTTAAGAAATAAACATTCAACTGTTGATTGACCATATTGGGTTACTGTGACCTAGTTTTGAAGATTTGACCTACATCAGCAGAAAAGGTTGTAGGGGTCACAAATTAAGATTTAACATATGTTAGACAAAATAAGGTCGCTGTGACCCAATTGGATTAAACAACAGTTCTCATTACATTTCTGAACCCAATGGCAATTTTCAGTAATATAGGTCAATTTTTCAAAAAAGGTCAAATTTACCTAATTAGGTGAAACAACAGTTTTAAGTTCATTTCATAACCCGATGGCAATTTTCAGTAATTTAGGTCAAATTTTCAAAAGTAGGTCACATTGACCGAATAAGGTGAAACAACAATTCCGAGTTCATTTCTGAACCCAATGACAATTTTTAGTTATGTAGGTCAATTTTTCAAATGTAGGTAAACAGAGTGTGGATATTTCTGAACCCAATGATCTATTTAAAATATTGAGAAATAGGTCACACTGACCTGATTTGGTCGGACGATGGACGCATTGTTACATGATATCATTTTGGTACTTCGGACAAAGTAAGAGTCAGTTTTCAACGGCCTACAAGCGGAAATTTGACCTCTCATGGGGTCCATTTTCAACGGGAGAGTCAGTTTTCAACGGCTCCCCGCAATCGGGAACCGTCGGCACTTTCCGTAAATGAAACCGACGGATCCCGATTGCGGCTCCTCAGTTTCATTTTCAATAGGGGTCCATTTTCAACTTTACACCGGCACAACTTTATCTATCGGATCATCATCGTATTCTGCTTCAACGAGTCTTGCCTTACACCAAACATCGACCAGTACATTCGTTTTCTCTGACCATCACTGTCTGGCTTGTAAGGACCTTTCGGGTAAGCGGCATTCACTAACCATCATGGCGAAGAAACATGGTGAAGGATTGGCTGTCAAAGGTGCTCATTGCATTTTCTAAAAAGAGACAGCTCTCTCTCTCTCCCTCTGCATTTGTTAGCTCACCTGCCCGAAGGCCAAGTGAGCTTATGTCATGGTGTGGCGTCCGTTGTCCGTCCGTCCATCCTTCCGTTCGTCCGTCCTCGTCCGTCAACTTTTCCTTTAAACAACTTCTTCTGAAGAACCGACAGGCCTAGAGTCATGATATATGGCTGAAAGCTTTGTTGGTAGGAGCCCGACAAAGTTTGAGAACGAAAATGACCTTGACCTACTTTCAAGGTCACAGGGGTCAAATATGTCAAACGCTAAAAACAACTTCTTCT